ACAAACGTATTTCCAGAGGATAACACGTTAAAGCAGTGGCTGTCAGCCTTTTTGCATGTGCGCAGGTATATTCCAGGTTTGAAAAGGTAACATAATGTGTTTCCCAGAAAGCATTTAGTGCAGGATTCTGGATCATTTAAGCCAACTTTTCATCAGAAATAAATGATTTATTATTATTCATATTTTAAGTGAAAGTATCATTTCAAGCATATTTACTTGTCCGTGATATTATCTAGCATCATTCAAGGGCACCCAGACTCAAAAAATTCAAACAGTCTAGTACTATGTGGCACCTCTAATGGTCCTGTGTGGCATTATTTGATAAATGTGATGTATAGCACCTTTAAAAAATGATGCTATACAGCACCACAACAGGTTTCCCTGTGATTACAAGCTAAAGAACCACTTTTCAGTATTGTTCAGACTCATTTTTGTTTAGAGTGTAATAAACAGGACTGTCCAATTAAATCCCAACTCCCACATAGTGATTTTTAACAGTGACACTGGTCTAGTGCTATCCACCACTTGTTTTCACAATAATGATGGCCACCTAATTTTTGGCATTCAGTATAATAATACTTTGTTTTGAAAATTATTTATGCAAAATCCTTCTTGTAGTGGAAGAAATAACTCTTCAAAAACATACCAGCTGTTCAGCTGAACATTTGAACACACTGATACAACTGCTGGCACCCCTGGAGAAAATAATCAGAGGCTGATATAACTGTCTTTAAGAGGCTGTAGCGTGCTAATTTTAAGATAGCGCAAAGCTAGTGGTATATTTTGTGAAATTAGACAATATAGGGCATCCACTGGCACCACCCATGTCAGCATAGCTTGTCAGGAAGTGAGCCAAATTTTGCTCCCAAGTTAGGCTAAATTTTGGCAAGGGCAAAAGTGGCATGGCCATTTTAAAAGGGTCCCTTGAACTTTAACCTCATGATGTCTGAACGACAGTTGGTTCTATGGGTACCTGTGACTCTCCCTCAAGCTTGAGAGGGCTTGTTCCCAGTAAATGTTTTGTGTTCTTACCATAAATCTACTCCTTTAAATTAAATCTGCTTATTTGTCTTTTATGAAAAAAGGACAACCGGCCTATTTGAAGAACAATGCATTGACTAACGTGTAAACAGATACATGACACATTCAAACAGATTGTTGTGGAACTCAAAATGTTAACTGCACTGCTGTTAGTATGTGTATGTTAGATAATTAGTAACAGGAAACCTAAGTTTATTAATATATGATTCTTAACTCGTCTATATACTTAAACATTATAACATAATTCTTGAAACTCAATTATGGCTTTTAGTTTTGGTGATTTTCAGATGCCCCATCTCACCACCCCTATGAAAGCTTTCTGGGGGCACCACTGCAGCTGTTAGATGGAGCCGATCCACACAAGTCTTCAGCTACATTTACGTCTCTAAGTAACTTGTGATTTCATGCTGAATTCACATTATATTTTCACCATGTTAGGTGTTGAGCGTTCCCGTCAAAGCTGTTCTCTGCAGCTGCATCTCAAACACAATTGCTCAGCACGTTCAAGGTCAATGTTTTACCACTTTTCCAGCATATTTCAATTAGCGTATGTTCAGTCTCTCTGCTGAGGCTCCATGAGAGGCCATCAGGGCAGAATACTTGAGGAGTTATGATCTAACGAGTGGCCGAGACAGTCGCTTTATCCTGAGACAGCAAGAGAACACCTTCATGGCCAATCAGGTCCGGCTAATGAGACAAGATGGGCCAGGACGGTGCCACAGCCATTACAGCCACAGTCTGTCAGCACTTTGGTAATGAAGAGACCACTGAAGGCAAAACTGTGTTAGAAAAGAGAACAAGCATCAATTTAGAGCAGGACAAAAGAGAAGTTTAGACACAGGAGCATGACAGGAAGTGTGCGAACCATTAATGAAGCTTCCACACAGACAACATGATTTATAGTGTATTAAAGGTCCAGTGTGTAGGATTTAAGGGGAGAGATGGAATATAGGAAGTCTTTTTTTCTAGTATATAATCACCTGAAAATAAGAATCCTTGTGTTTTCGTTACCTTAGAATAAGCTGTTTGTATCCACATAGGGAGCGAGTCCTCGTTTATGGAGATTGCTGTGTTGCACCGTCATGTTTCTACAGTAGCCCAGAACAGACAAGCCGAACACTGGCTCCAGATAGGGCCATCTGCAACAAGCAACATCGGAAAACCACTGATGTGTAATGTGAAACTGCTTTATTCAGTGTTTTTACTGGCTTGAATCACCAGTGGTTGTAGGGTCTATACTGAAAATGTACATACGGACAAAAGCAAAAAATGGATTGCGCCAAAAAATATTTGCCAATTTCTAAACTCAGGCTTCCACCTCACCATCTGTCACTAATTTCCAATCTCCAAATTGTTCATAAGCATGGGTCAAAGTTTCTCCCGTCAAGTCTGTTTTTATAGATCCCAACTTTTCTGTGGGAAGTGGCATACGCCTCTTTCAGGCCTCGTTTTGTGCGTACGCAATGTTTATAAATGAGACTCCTGGTGCTTTTGTTTTGGAGAAGAAGAGACCTCTGCAGATAATTTGACTCTAGGTGAAAACCTCTCGAATGTCTCCATCTTAAGCAGGTGGTGAGCGAGCAGCCTGTCTCTGACATGCCTAACAGCGTTGGAGAAAGACTGATTTGTAATGTAGAGCTACTTTATTCAGTGTTTTTACTGGCTTAAATCTACAGGTGTGTTTGTTTTAGAGAGGAAAGACCTCTGCAGATAACTCAGCTCCCAGTAAAAACCTTGTGAACAATGAATACTGAAGGAATTCTAGCAGGGAGAAGTTTCAGCTGGTTGTTATCAGCAATCCTCACTGCTAGACACAACTATATCCCCCTAAATCTTACACACTGAAACTTTAAGGGTTGTCAGACTGCATTACAAGCACAAAAATGGCATGGCATGGCATGTGACATGTTGTTTCATTCCCCCCCCCCCCTGAAAGTGGAGGCACAACATATTTAAGTATTTATTTGAAAAGCCTTAAATGCATTAGAAAATTATAATTAGAATATTTCTTTTGCAGGTTTCCCGAGGTCAGACTGATAAAATTAGTCACAGTGTAATTCATTCAACTATTTTTCAACATTTTAAATGTATCTCATGCATCCAGATGAACAGTGTTTTCGATTTTCACCACAAGAGGGCAGGCGATGACTTGTAATGGGGGAACCAGCTGATGCCGGAGCAGCTGAGGGTGAAGCAGGAGCTTGATGAACATGCTTTATGGCAAGCTTGTGGATTTCATTCAACTTTGAAGATTTCGGTTATCAGTGGGAGCCAGACTCTCGGGCTGTAGAGTCCTGATATGAAATTTCAATTTTGTCATGTGGTGCTCTACATGGAGACCCACCAGTGAACCATATTCATGACATGACATGTAGGCTGTACTATTTATTCTGTATGGGAACAAGTTGCAGTTTCATTTAAGGCGAACCCGAGTCTGACTTCTTAGATGGTTCTGATTGTGGATCAGTGTCCCTCCTTCTTTCACTCATGTCTTTTTAAAGACTGTAGCACTTGATCACACGCATCATAGATTAATGCTCTACTTTTTTTGCAGCTTCTGTTTAGGACTCTAACTGGCAGTAAATCTCTCTTCATTTAATTATTTTCGAATATAGATTAACTCTCGCATTTTCTCCCACCCTGCTCGCTGTAGCGTTGATTGTTTTCACCACTCATTGCTTATTTGAAGGATTAAAGGAAATAAACATTAATGAGTTGGTGAAATGAGTGGATAAACCCCCCTCCCCATCAGGCCTCTCTTCCATCCATCACTCCTCCCGCCATTCTCGGCGATGATATTCATTAATCAAGATCTGATTATTGCCTGCTGTCAAAGTGCGCAAAATGGAGCATGCGTCTTTCTCTCTGTGTCTTAACTGGCAAAATGAACAAACTCACTGCTTTTTAAAAACATCCTAGATGGTGTGAGGTATAGCTGCACGAATTTTATCACAATTTCTGTTTGTCAAATTCTCAACACGGGAAGAAGCATCACCCTCCGTCATAATATAACCGAGTGCGGCGCCCTTGAACGCCACTAGGCGACACACTAAGATAGGAGGATGTTATTGCTTCCGGCGCACATGCCTTAAGAATCTCTCAGCTGCTGCACCGTGTTCATCAGTTCTGTCAAAAGGTTTGTTGGACAGCATTTCCAAACCTCTTTATATTAATTCACCCGGGCATCTGAGTTCGTATCTGCCGAGGTCCTCAGCCCACCTCCCTCCCTCATTTACATCCCACACCGGCGGCACCGTGCTTATGGAAATTAATATGCAGATCAAATAAATCACAGTGTAATATCCTTGTCAGGAGAGGCCTTTTAGGTTATTGCAGGGTGGCGTAGATTGGAGCTGCTTCACTGCGAGAATGACCGTTTTAAAAAAGTGTTTTTTCTTTCTCAAAGCAAGTGGCAGAAAATGTGTCGCTAGAATAAGATGTTCAGTTTTACACTGCAAATCTGCTCAACACATATCTCCACATAAGCGACAGTATATTGGGTTTAATTGGGGTGGTCTTTTTGTTTAAGGTTTTATGCGTTATGGCAGAAACGGCCGTGGAAAGCATTACACCACTGTCACACTCTGCACATTTTTGCCTTTATGATTTAGAAAATTAAGACTACTGGCTTGATGCAATGACTACACTAGGATTTTCTGATACCCTCTCATATCCTTGCTTGTGTGTGTGTGTGTGTGTGTGTGTGTGTGTGCAGTTTATATGTCGCCGGGTCCGGTCTGCATTCCTGTACTACAGTAAAAAATAGTTGTCCGCTTGTGTACCGGCAGGCGAGTGAAACAAAAGGCTGATCGGCCGTGCGCAGATTTCAGCACCACAGAAGGTGGACAGCGCTCTCGGGAAGCCTGTGTGTGGATGGACAGCTCCCATCGACACACACTCATACACACACACACTGGAGCATTCACATGCACGTTCACATAAAACACAGAGCTGTAAAATGGTTGTGTGGATTCACTTTATTGTTGGACCGAGGGGGAAGGAAACAGTACATGCGTAAATGTGTCACAGTCTGACACGACAGAAGCAAACCTTTACTGTGAGAGCGTCACTAATACTGTTTAAAAAAATGCCATTAAAAGATGGGATGTGTTCCTTGGATTTGCAGACATCTGAAGAAAGAAGGACCATCTCTTGGCATTCACCGCGTGCCTTAATTGTAAGACATTAAATCAAGGTCCGCTGTGAACACGGAGAGACACAACCCGCTTGTCTGTGTGTGTGCGTGTGTGTGTGTGTTTGCCTGCATGTGTGTGAGCAGCTGCATTCACTGCTGTGGGAAACGACCAGACACCTCAACATCTCCGTAAAACCTGTCATTACAAATATAATCAAATAATCTCACAGCCTTTGAGGCCTGCGTTGTGAGACTGAAAACTGCACTGGGATGTCAAGTTTGGCCCAAAATGGAAAAATAAAAATTCCAAGCACGGGTCCAAAGAGATGAAATCCTCTCCCGGTTGTCGTGCAGGCCTACCTTATTATGTAAAAACATTCAATTGGAGGAACTAGAGGTTAGGTTACAGGGGTGACTTAAACGCAAAACAGCCAGTGGGTGGTTTTGCGTGCAAAATAATGATACGTCCCAGGCCGCTTGTGCAGGCGAAAAAGGACTCCGTGTGGTGCTTTCCCGTCGACTGCTTTGTCCAAAACTGCAGAAAGCGTTAAAGTCCTCCATTATCCCATAATGCACCTACAAACAAAAAAAGAAAACACAAAATGCGTCATGAACTTCACATGGAAATGCAGGTGACAAAACCTTGTATTCCTTCCTCATTGACCTGGAAAAAAATGAGGATCAGTTGGCGTCCATGAAACAGAAAAAAAGTCCACGTCCAGAATATTGATTTTCCTAGTCACATAGGGTACGCATTTTTTCTCCCAACACACACCGCACACATACACATACACACTGTAGCCTCTACTTGCGGGTCACACGTTGAAACTGCCGCAAATCGCAAACGGGGCATCTGAAGAGCCTTGGTAACTGCGGTTGTCCTGAACACAGCGGTGCTCTATGTGTACGCGTCCCTGCACGCGCGTCTCCCAACAGAAAACTGACCGGGACACCGACACCGAGCAGGGCAGCGCGAGCCCAGCACCGACACCGACACTGCCTAAATGGGACTGATCTCTCTCTCGTCCGGTCCTTTCTGGAACATACGAGAGGAATGGTGGTGACGCACACATAAACAGACGCAAGGCTTCGGCACAAGAGGATTGGGATGGGGGGGGGGGGGGGGGGGGGGGGGGGGGGGGGGGGGGGGGTGGTGGAGGAAGGAGGGGGGTGTTGACGTCACCGGGCAAACAGATGTTCCTCTATATTACCCAGCGTCCTCCTCATGACTACCCCGTGTCCTTGAAACTAGGAGGGAAATTGACGACTTCCTATTCGGAGAATTAACGACTATCGCCGAAATGTGTTAATAGATCTGCAGTTAGTAAGTGTGTGTGTGTGTGTGTTTGTGTTGTGTTGTATGCGCGGCCCGGCAGAGGAAATGCCAACAATGGCCCCGCAAATTGTGAAGCCCCAAATCTGGCATTGGCTGTGAACGGTTATGCAACATTGCACTATTCAAAAAATGAGAACACGCGTGTACGTAGGCTGCACGCACGCACACAGTACAGACTCACACTCATGCACGGGCATGCGCACATGCACTTTTCTCTGCACACTTACACACTCACTCACACAGGGATGAGGGAGGGATGCTCGTGTCATCCTGAGCCTGCTGTTTGATGTGAGTGCAGTTTAACCAATACTGTATTTTGCTCGATGTGATGAGCTGCACCTGAATTTCAGTCCTTGAAGTAAGATTTAAAATGTGACACTGAATACACTCTGTATCTGTCATGGTGAGCGTGATGGAGAAGTGTACGTTTCTGCTTTGAGATGCGCATTAAAAGATAAATTACTTCCATACTAATTACGTTATTGTATGGGGGCTGACACAGATAGGAGATCCATGCCATTATAAACCAGTATAATCTGCAGTGGTGCAGACTACAGATATTTGCATATCTCCTCGTGTAGGCTAAAAACTGCTGAATATCAAATGTCAGTGCTGTCTAATCACAATTAGGAGCCACATACCTGCTTCCCCATCAGAGCCTCCCGGAGCCTCTGAGCTCACCATACTGGGAACCAGTTCTACATCTGACAGCCCGTGTTTCACCACTAAAGAGCGAAATCCACTGCGTGTAAAGCAGTGTGGTGAAAATGACGAGGCGCAGGCTCGTGGATATGACAATTGCAATGCATTACCCACACGCTATAACAGAGAGGAGAGGGATGCAGAAACAAAGGGAAACGCCATTTTAGACGGAAACGTCCCCATCACCCTGAAAAAATCCGGCGACTCTCGCGCCGGCCCTCGTTTTGGAGCTCCATCGTCAGCACATCACCACATTTCGGGTCCCTGTGTGTATGTGGCCACCGACAGGAACACGACCCCTATTGTCCTTAAGCACCGCGCAACGAACAAACGATGTGGCTCACAAACCCACCGTCCTCTTTACCCTTCTTATTGATTATGCAACCGTCGACATAAAACGATCTGTCCAGCCCGCGCGCGTTTTGGTGATGCTTTTCGATCGCCTCTTTTTGTTAGCTCTCTTCCCAAAGTGCTTTATTCCCTAAAGCCCGCAATAACAATGGCAAGTGCAACGTGCATGAGGAAGCGTACAGAACACCTCTTTGCAGATACAAAACGATCACCATCCTCCTCTAATCTATTGAAATACATATCCTACTAACGTTTGAAGCAGAAATACACATTCATGTTATTAATAATTGATCAAAGGCTCGAGCATAAAGCAAACGCGAGCATCAGATACTCACCATGATATGGTCCACGCCATATGGTGGATCCCAGAACACTGTGCTCTGCTAATATTTATCCGTTTCTCTCACTTCATTCTAGCTTTAATACTTCACTGCAGGTCTTTACATCACGGAGGCAGTCGCTTGTATTCCCGGTTCCTTTCGGCGTAGCGGCGGACAAGCAAAGACTCCGTTTGGCGAGAAGCTGATACTACCAATGAGAGCGATGCTGTAGCCTCTGCAAAGCATGGCTGCGCTTTCTCGCTTTTTTTTCAAAAGAGGGCAGGTCGTTCTGTGCATTACAATAAAATCTCTCTCTCTCTCTCTCCTTTCCTCTCTCTCTCTCTCTCTCTCTCTCTCTCTCTCCCCCTCACATGCACACGCGCACACACGCTTTTATACATACAAATGCGCGCTCGCTCACACTGACACGCAAATATAGCCTATCCTGTGCGCGCTCTGGAAAATCTATACATCTGGTGTTTTTATATATTATGATTATTTCTATTTGATTATTTCCATGCATGTTGCTGCTGTTAACCAGATTCCCATTGTGCAGTGTAAGACTGTGCTGCAGGCCTGTTTTAGTTTTATATGTGCAGCAATAACTATAACATAATCTAGTGAAGCTCGACATTAGGAGTGTGTGTAGCGGGATCGTCGCCTTGCCGGCCACAATTAATCATGTTTAATGCCGTTTGTCTTGAGAGGTCCATTAGTGCGTTGCAGTTTCACGCATGAGGCCGCTGGATTGCAACTCAATTTCTATAGGCTGTGTTGAGCCTGCCCAGACAAACTGAGGGGCATTTTACAGCAAGAATGAGAAGAAATGTGTCTGTAATGTGTTACAGGCCTATAATGCAAATACTCTTTCCTTTTTGAGGACCAGTAAAGGGACAATTTTATTTCCACAATTTGCACACTTTGCACACTACACATTTGGACATGCAAAAGCACAGAGGCTATGAAGGTAGTCTTGGTTTTGCGTTCAACATAGAGGCAGTCATTGATTGAAGCAAGTGGCAGTCCTGCACTGCTCGTTTGTATCCCCTTTACTTCCTGCCGTGATTGACTCCCAGGCAAAGATCCAATCGAAGCCAGGGCCCCATGTATGATGTCATTTTAGTAACCTCACTAACCCTGTAGCCAAGGCGGAACACACAGGCCCGCTAATGCCTACTTACCTCCAACCTATTAATATATATCTGATTCCTGCGTTAGGAATAGCCTGTAGGTGTTATTCACGGTCTGTTTCTTCGAGTTCTCTCCTTCTGTCATCCCATCCTCTGCACATCCATTCTCTCTTTCACAGTTTCACTCTGTTACTGTTTTATTGTTTCACTCTGTTACAGTGTTGGCCTTTGACGGCTGCAAGAACCCAGTCAGTGCAATGATGCAACGCCGGCGTGTGATGCAACACGGGCGAACACACCACTAACAGCGTTAACGTTTTGTCAACATTTTTATGCTTTATTTGAAGGGTTAGAGGGAAAGTCTGCTGGGGCTTGCGTCAGGCTACATATAGAGGGAAGTTTGAAAGCTGCTTTCTCTCTGGCAGAGAGGGGGGTAACGCTATTGTTCCTGCTGAAACAATGGGAGCTGCGGGGCGACATGCAGCGGTGCGCACATGAATGGCAGGGCTCTGGGATGTGTGTGGGTCAGTGGCCCGGGGTCTCCGTCCCAAAGCCCCTTTCCCAGCGCCTCACAATGAACCTGCACAAGGTCGGGGCTCCTAGGGGTCACAGGCCACCCCCTTTTGTCCCGCACTTCAAAACACATAAACATTTATTAATCAAGAGCCAGCCACTGGGGCCCCTGCTTGGAAAGGGGGGTGAGAGGGGTGGCGTGAAGAGGGGGGAAGAAGTGGGGGAGAAAGAAAGAAAGAAAGAACTAGTGGCTGCAGATGCAAATTCCATCATTTGGACAGAGGTGGAAGTTTGTAAAAGTTGCAGCCTAATAGAGGAAGTTGGGGCTCTGTGCAGCAGCGAGCCGGCGGATGGAAACACACAGACTGGATTTGGACTTATTATTAAACTGTACCCCGTCCATCTGTCTTCACTCTTCTGTTGGATATGCGTGCAACGTCTCTGGGATGGGATTTCTGTCGCACAGTGACATGTTCTCCACACCTGAGGACTCAAAGAACAAACAGGGGGTACAGCCGCCTGCACAGCACTCAGCCGATCTGACGAAATTGCATAAAGTAATGTAGTCAGTGGCAGCGCATTATCATAGTGAATACCATTCGTTTACATAAACACACACGGAGGCTGCAGGATCGAAACGCCCTTCATGTGCACAGCTTTTTTTTTCACGCGGAGTCCACGTGAAGTAGTGCAAAACTCGAGCTATAAGGCGACATCGGAATGCTGTTTGTCTCTTCGTGCGTTTTCGATCAGTTATTTGTTGACAATAAAATCCCAAAGCAGGGCCTCCCTCTGCAGCACATGAAACGTACCTGTTTGTGAATTTACAAATAAAAGAAGCAAGTTAATTTTACACAAGATCAAATAACACTTAGAGCCGGACAAAATAACCTGCGTTAATTTCATTTGAGACGTACTTGTGGTGCATTAAAGCTCCCTAATAAGCGTCGGTGTTAGTCGTTTTGGGAAGCAGTGTAACGAATTGGAAACCAAATCGAAACGAAAATGTATGTCTGTAGGAAAATGTGTCCAGGCAGCTGCAGGCTCTGTGCTCTGCAGCAGTAAACGTTGTAGTTGCATCAGTTTTAGCAACGAGATGCCTTAATAACCGCAGCCTTTCCATCAGCCCCCCTTATATTTTGCATCATGCATCAGGCCTCCCCCCCAGCCTCACACAGTCTAAACGAGGTTGCTCTTTGTGCTATAATATTCTCCATAAAATGTACATCAAAGCTGGTTTCATATGTTGATATATTTATTTATATTTTATACATATCAGTAATTGGTGAATAATTTTAATTGTAACATGGTTGTATGAAGTCTTCCTTATATTAGTGTGTGTTAATTTTTTTCCTACAATTTCTGTTCAGTCATAATTTGATTTTAATGAAGAATAGCAGGTTGTTTTGAACTGAAGTTTGATTTTGACAAGTATTTTTGCTTTAATACATGTTCAAATGTGTTGCTGATAGATGTGAGGCAACAACTTAGAAATAATAGAAGAAATGTTTTAACAAATTCTCATGTATTTTTAGTTGTTTTGAATTTTCCCAAAGTCCTTGTCGAACTTGGTGACAGGCAGTCACTGCAATTCTGAATTTACACGTTAAGAAGTTGGGGTAAAGTCATTTGTTTTGGTGTCATGGCTGAAATCAAAAGCTGCTTCTTCTGTAGTTACATAAGCAACACAGACAGGTAAACATACCTGCAGTACCATGTGAGAAAGAGGGGGCATACTGTGTGTTTCAACACTTTGAGTTGAAATATTTGGAATATTTAATAGCGGAATATTTGGTGAACATGTTGCTGAAATGATGACAATTTTTCACAGTTCTGTTATGTCCAAATATAATTTACATCAGGGCTATAAGAGCCTTTTGTGTGTTTTAACTGCATAGTATTGAACATTTGTACGAACATTTATTCTTTAAAATAATTAAATTCATTTGAAATCAGAATGCATCCAAACTATTTGTAATTGCTTTTTTGATATTGGGTGAAAATTGCTTTTTGAGACGCAAATCAATTTCAAATGTACTTCAGTTTAAAAAAAAAAAAAAAAAATACATAAGACTCATCTTTGCTCCAGAGAGTAAATACAATTTTCCTATATAACAGAGTATATGTGTGGTTGCTATGGTAACCGTGCAGACACTACAATATCAATAACTCTGTTATCAATAGGTTAATAACTGCTGTTTATGGAAGTAGTTACAAGCTCTGGTTTATTAACCCATGCCTACATGTTTTTGCCTCTTTTCCCATAAATACACATCATAGATTTCATCAGATTTAAGGTGAGCAATATCAAAATGACTTCTTGTGTAATGTAAAAAACTGATTTACGTGTGTTATATGTGCCAGCAGTCCTGACCTGCAATGAGCAGACTCCAGAATTAGAGAATAACCCAGTATATCCTGCTTTGTTTCAGGACATGACCTCATTGCAAATTTTTTGTCTTTCTTTCTTTTTTTTCAAACAATTCCTGATGGTAACGTGTGCCTGCTTAGCCCGTGCAGGGACAGTACACTCCCCAAGCTAACATCAAACACCAAACAGCAGTTGTTATTTCATGGTTGCGTGCAAGCAGAACCAGGTCATCTGCACTGGGTTACAGGCCTGCTGGCTGTGTTTGTAGTGTCCTCCAAAGTGTGCATCTTGCCTTACAGACATTGAGCTCTCCGCTCGGTATAAAATCATTCTTTTATGGCTTTGCTGTTTAATTTACACATTTAACAATACCTGTAATTTCAGATGTCAGAAAAGAATACATGAGAGAGGATGTGTATAAAAAGAATCCAGAGATGAGATTTTATGTGGGCGGGATGTGATGTGACTTTAGTTAAATTTAAAAGATCTAAAACAAGTTTACTCGTAGAATGCTATTCATGATCACCTGAAGCTTTATTTTTCCCACTATCATGCAATATAAACCAAATATAATACAGCAGAAACCTAATCTTGAATTCCAGTCTGTTTAAAAGGATGTAGTTTATCTAGAACTGTGACATGTTGGATGAATTGCACCTCCCGCTAGATAAACATACATAACAGAAAACTGAATCCTGTCTGTAACCACTGAGGAAGATACTTTGTACCATGCGCCATTGTAGTGTTTTGTGTGAGTGAAACGAGGATGAGTGTGTGGGACCTTCCCCCTCTGACATTAGCGGGGGGTCAAATGTGCATGTAGGGCACCTGGCTCTCCACCTCCCCTCTCTCTGTGATGTTAAATGTCAACCAGCAGCATCCAGAGAAAGCAAGGTGAGCCTCCATTCTAATGCTTATGCCAGGAGATTATCACATCTGACTCCCAACACCATGTTTCTCTTGTGTAGGGCAATTAAAGCTGTAAGAGAGGGGAAATTTACTGAATCATTAACCTAAGGTTTTCTTTTTAGTGAAGTAGATGGCGTAAGGGTTGGTGCACTGAAAGGAAAAGCCCTGGCTTTAACATGAATTTAAGATGAGTGCCTTAATCTTTGTCTTTGTTGCCGAAAGATGTGCATTAACAGCCCTGCATATCTTAAAATGTCGAGAACCCCCTCATCCACCATGTGTAAACATAAAGCAGTAATTGAATTAAACAAATAAATGTATTTATTTGGACACAG